GCATAAAACATATATTTATATATAATTTTTATATTCCTATTTTTTTTTTACACTTTGTAAAAAAAAAACTTTTTCTTTTTGTCCATTTATATCAAGCAGTCACTATGACTGACTGCTTGATAAATTAACTTTTTTAATTTGTGGCTATTATTAGGCTGCTCCAAACTTGGGAACAGCTAATAATAACCTTAGAGACTGATCCTGACAGCATGTCAGAATCAGATCTCACTAAAGGTTTCTGATGGTGCCTAGACTAGATCAGAAGTGATGCATTGTAACACTGTGCCTGAAATGTATCATAGACATGGGCTATCGAGCTGTCAAAACAAAAAGCAGAGAGGTGAATCACTCTGCTACCTCTCTGCTATCTTCAGCTGTCAAATACGGGATCGCTATTTAGCGATCCTGTATTTGTATGTAACGGCTTCATTCTTTCATTAATGAAAGAAAGAAGCTTTTACAAAAGCTTCACTATTTAATTAATGAATGCCTCAACACTGAGGCATTCATTAATGACTGGTAACCGCTGAGAATCAGCAGTTACCGGCATTAGAGTCTTAAATAACTGGTCACTTACAGTGTATGTGGCCAGCCATATAGGCACTGCGTGGCGGGACGTACAGTGTACGTCTCCCGTCACGAAGGGGTTAAAGGCGGGATTAGCCTGATTAGCTGAGCTGGGAGAGGGAGTAGTCTAGCAAAACACAATTAGGCAGAGCTGACACCACTAAATCCACACAAATGCTGTTGGTCGTGAGCCCACAACAGGGCACACAGCATTTCAGGTGGATCAACAAGTATTGTTTTTGTACTTGCAGGGTCATTAAAGTGATAAATGACAAAATGTGCATGTATTGCAAAGGTGTGCGATATACATGTACATACATACATACATACATACATACATACACACACACTTTAATGTAAAATGACAACATGACCCGCACTGGCATCTGTTAAAAACAAAACTCATACAGTTTTGTCAGGTTCCATATGGCTTCTACCGTTGTAGAATACTGAATATGGGGGTCTCATTGTATCCACTTCTCAACATGTAGCTGAGCATATCTGAATGTGTAAAAGGAAAACTGAAGCTTTTTTTCTTGTGCTTCACCGGTCAGCCATAATGATAAAGTAGTAAGGATGGGCACAGACAGTACACAGCTTCCACTGACTCCCAATCAACTTAGAACATGGTAGGCACATGCATTAGATTATCTGGGGCTCTGGGTTAGTAGATGAGCTAATTATCTGCCCTTCCAGCTACAGTACTTTAGAAATGTGGATATCTTGCATGAAATGATCTGAAAGCTCTGACTTTTAGAAGCTATAGAAAGTTGGCTTTGTTTGTCGTTCTGTAGAAATCCTTATGGGCTCCCAAATTACTAATTCTTCATTATAAATTCTTTCTTTATTTATCTAAACAAATATTTGTGCAAGCCACGAACATACAGAAGACACATGGTAATTGATAAACTTGCCAGGAATACATTAAAGGAGAACTATGAGGTGTGCTTTTCACTCACCTCATAGTTCTAGCCGACCTGTGACAATGAGACTGTCGCAGGTCGGCTCAGTAGATCGGGAAGTGAGCGAACACATACCGGCGTTCGCTCACCTCTCGATCCTGTCACAGCTCTCTGCCGTGGCAGGGAGTGGCTGGATTCCCCCCTCCCTGTTCCGATCCTCCAGCGCTGACTGGCGGAACAGACGGGGGAGGGGGCGGGTACAGCTGGCTCTGCCTCTAGATAGGCAGAGCTAGCTGTCACTCACGCAGCTGGGCGGATCCAGACATAATTGTCGGGATCCGCTTCAGCTGCGGCGTCTCAGTATATAGCTTGCGGTGTACTGCGGCGTCTCAGTAAGCTCGCGGTATACTGAGCTTAGGGTAATGGGAGGACGCTAGTTTGTGTCCTCCCGTTATCCTAAGGAGAACTATGGGGAAAACCCCCTAACCCCATAGTTCTCCTTTTAACTGAAGGATAACATTGCAAACAAAAATAGGATGTTACTCAGATAGTATCCCTTGAACATTGTGACTTCAGATCCTTACCCTGGGTTATCATGAAACAGTAAGGTGCATAGAATCCCCCATATTCAGGTTTATCATGATATAATGCAAAAGTACAACAATACAGAGGCATTTACATCACCTCCAGACCAAAAGAGAATGAAAGGAAGAATGACGAAGAGAAAGCCAAAATAAAAAAAACTAAAGCGAAAAACAAATCCAAAAGGAAGCCAAATTTACTATTCTAATGATTATAATTGCAGAAACTAGGACCCCTGTGAGAAGTAAGGGATAATACTGAAGAAGCCTGGTGCTTTTCCTACCTAACCTCCTGAGCCTGTCATATCTTTATTTTCTAGTACACGCGGGCTAGTTCTATCTCTGAACAACAATGTGATATATATTTTATCTGCTGCTAGAATTCTCTGCCACACTTGTTGATGTGTACATGGTACACAAAGCAATACAAATTTAAGACACATGCATACCATGTTTATTTATGCACATTGTATTGGTTGTTGACTAACTGCCTTATTCTCTGCTATCTAGTGTACCGCTTAGCATACTTGAGGCTCAACAGCTTATGTTCCAGTCTGTTATCTGACCACCCCGAGCTTGAGCAAATCATCTGGACTCTTTTCCAGCACACTCTGCAGCATGAGTATGAGCTGATGAGGGACAGACACTTAGACCAGGTAATTCACCCAGTCCTGCAAGGATAAAAGGCCTCATTTCCTGTATATTACTCAAGCATGTCGCTTCCTCTTTTTTTGCTTGTTGTCTGTGTATGCATATTACACATTTATCCTGTTTAAGAAGTTTTCATTTATTTAACAATTGTAGCCCTTGTGTGGGCATATGATTCATGAGTCATTCTTAGTTGATAAAAATATTTAATTTTTTGTGTGTTTTAGCATAAATTCCTGCCAAAATTGTAGTTTTGTTATCGGTGAAGATGGGTTTACTGTCTGTTGTAGAAGCTGTAATCTTTCCCTGCACTACACAAAATAAAAAATTAGGTTTGACTGGGGCCCTAAAATTTTCATTTTAATTCAGAAAGCTCCTTGTTCACCAAGCTGGACCTGATTTTTTTTTTTTTTTATATTTATATATGCTTATGTTATGTAATCTTGACTAATGCTTATAATATCCATATAGAATCATTCTAATTTGTGTATTTTGTTTATATGTCTGGTTGCTATAAGATTAATTATGGGATTAGTTTAAAAGTAATCACTTTCTTGGTCAAATCCTGAAACGTGATTTTCTGGAAGTTGTATCTTGCTGGAGTTTAATGTATGTATATCTTTAGAAAACATTTTATCTTTATTTGCATTAAACCCTAAAACGTTTATGTTAACGTAATATAAGGAAAAAAGGGAGCTGCAGTGCTATAAAGGGACATCAAATATGATTCCACCATTATATGTAGAATAGCTTGCCTTGACAAATTTGCCTCACTGTGCCTGGTTTTGATTCCATCTGATTAGAAACTGCAGTATTTAACTTTTAAACTCTAATCTATAAGCAAGCTGCTCTGTTAGCATCGGAGATGGACATGCTCTGAATAATTGTTATGTAGGTGTATATTTAAATTGCATTTTCCTGGTCTTGTGACCTGGAATATACATTTAGTTGGGTGTCTTTCAGCATTGTAGGATTTGCCATAATTATAATGGCTAGCAAGTTTTTTTAAATTTCTGCCTCCTTTGTTTTGTTTTTTTTTTGCAGATCATGATGTGCTCTATGTATGGCATTTGTAAGGCAAAGAACTTTGATCTACGATTCAAAACTATTGTTACAGCATACAAGCAGCTTACGAATACAAACCAAGAGGTAAATGATTTTCTTGTTTACATTTTTGCATTTGCTTGAAATGTAGACAAATCTACACACAGTAACTTAGCCAGAAATGTGCCAGTCCTTTTCATGAAGGCCATGCCTCCACATCTGTCACAACCTTTTCTGCTGACTTGAGCAAATCTTTATACAAAAGTGATAGGCAATGCTTTATGGATAAAGAGGAACGGTCCTTGCATAAGTGCTGCAAGATCTCTATGATCTGTACTAGGGGCTTTTTTTGTATATGTGCACCTTTATCACTTGATTATTAATTCCCTAAACTGATCTATCTTTAGTCTTGATCAGATGGTTCACATTCAAAAAGCAGGCTGTGCTTGGTCAGGATAACACAGCACAGATATTGCAGGCTATTCTCCGCCTTTATGCTGGAGAATAATGGACAATCATTAAAAGACCTGCATTCAGAAGATAAGCAAGTATTGGTATTTTTGCACAAGATATATTGTCATTTTGTGAAAAGATCTTTTATCTGATGTAAGTATCTCTACTGCATATGCAACTGCACACCTCCACCAAAGCTTACCTGAAGTAACAAGTTTGGGCACAGAGAGTCCACTGGCGCAAATCTACTTAACCAAGTTTTTCTGAAGCTGATGAAGTCATAATGTTGTTGTTTTTTTTATGCTACTGTCCATTATAGCAAAGACCAAATACAAAGTGGGTTGTTGGGTATTAAAGCATCGTGATTTGAGCAGCATGTAGTAGCCCCCAGAATTTCTAACACTTTAACACTACAATCCTTTAAAGATTTCAGATCAGCTCTCCATGAGTGTAACTAAGTGTGGCCATAAACCTCCCAATTTGATGCACAATCAAACATTTAATGATAACCTAGAGTGCAATAACCAAGTGCTACTTTACATTGGAAACACTCATTAGATCTAGATACGATTTTATTATTTTATCTTTGGATTCTAATGAAAGATCGAACGCTAATAAGACTACAAGTTACTTTCATTATATCTTTTTTTATCATCTGAATATCTGAATCATACCTCCATATTCCTCTGTCCTGTAAGCTGATGACAAATAGTGTATGTAAATTAGAATGAGGATGACTATCAATCCACATAAGCAGTGTCTTATTTGTTTCACAAAATGTATTTCATTTTTGCAGACATTCAAACATGTTTTGATCCGAGAAGGACAGCATGACTCCATTATTGTATTCTACAACTTGGTCTTTATGCAGAAATTAAAAACTAATATCTTGCAATATGCTTCTACAAGGGTGAGACTTTTTATCTGTGATCTGTTCTGTTCTGTTATTCATACTATTTTTTTAAATCTGGCTAATTTAGGTTTTATCCAGTGAATTTATGATATTGTGTTAATTTACTGGAATTACTGTAGGTGTAGTAGTAACTGAAGCACACTTTAATTTACGGCATAAACCTTAGGTCCCTGTTGTTTAGAGGATGAGTTGTGAGGGGGACACTGTATGCCTCAGAGCTCCCCAGTGGTTGTCTACTGTTAGAGGAAAGTCATCTGTAGTGGAACCTCACAGCTGTCATCTGTCAAGATAGCATTTAGTCAAATTAAATTCCAGGGTTTTCTTTGCATTATTAAGTGTATTTAAAGTGTAATAAAATAACATTCGCCAGCAGTAATATAACGTGTAAAATGCAATAGTAATTTATTTCATGTTTATTTTGTTTTTTTGAACTGATGTTTGTCAGATTTACTTATGATGAATCAGAGCTACACCCAACATCTTATCTAGTCATAGGAAGATTCATGTTATTAACTTTGTATGATAGACAGACTGACTGACAGAAGAGCCACCTGGTAGCTGTCAAAATGAAGTCTTTATAACAGTCTGAACAGATTAGTTTAACACTTGGACATTTTTAGTTACATTTTTCTATATATGCCTTTTGATATTTATTGTTTTGGTGTTTGTTGTAACCTTTACTGTATTATTTTTATTTTTAAGCCTCCCACTTTGTCTCCAATTCCTCAAATACCACGAAGCCCTTACAGATTTGCAAACTCTCCATTAAGAATTCCTGGTGGAAATAACATCTATGTCTCTCCGTTAAAGAGCCCATACAAGTCATCAGATGGGCTGCTGTCTCCAACAAACATGACACCAAGGACTAGGTCTGTTGTAATTTTGAGATCTTGCATGCTGGTTTGTGTGGGAACATTTCGACATGAGGCCTAGATAGTTTTCAGCTAATGATTAAGTGGTCTTTCCATAGCTATGGGTATAGAAGTATAATAACTGATCCCATTGCATCTGGTATCAGTAGCTGAGCTTAATCTAAGAATCATGATCATAATTGTCTGCATTAAAAGTATCATGGTGGCTGAAGTGAAATCAAAGACTTTTCACTCTTTAAACATTGTGTAAATGTTTTTATGTTTTTTTTTCTTTAGTAATTAGCTTAATGTGGGGGGCGTGGCCTGGCTTCTGGTATGGACGGACGCTGATCTCTGCAGCTCCGGTCCTATCTCATCTCACTCACTCCTGCTTTCTCCCGACACCTGGCTGTTTCTTGCCCTCCTCTCCTGCCCATCACGGAGATGGTGAAGATAGGGCACCAGAAGCCTCCCTCTACCGCCAAGAAGCTGGCTTCTCCTCCTATATTAATATCCCCAGATATTATGGCAGCCTTTTTATCTTTCTTTGAGGACCTCTGTGCCTCCAGGGCCACCTACACTCAAGCAGATCTTGAGTCTTATTTATCAGATGCTTCTTTTGCCGTGTTTAACCTCTCAGGCACGGGATGGGTTGGACTCCCCTTTCTCTATAGAGGAAATGGAGGCTGCATTCTCTCATTTTCCCACACGTAAGACACCTGGTTTAAATAGTTTTCCAATAGAGTAGTATGCTAGATACCGTGATCTCCTTAGTAGACATTTATTGTCCATGTACAATGAGGCATTTTAGTTAGGTATACTTCCTCCTACTCTGTGTGAGGCTCTCCTCGTCCTGCTTTAAAAAACCCGGTAAATACCCAGTGAAGTGCGACTCTTACCGCTCCATCTCCCTTATAAATGTGGTTGCAAAGCTCCTAGCAAAAAATTTGGTCCTTCGCATTAAGAAATACATTTCCACTACTAGAGTGAACATTCGTAGATTGTTCACTAATCTTCAGTTTCCCCATCCCCACTCTGAGGATAGGGCTGTGGTGTCTTTGGACACCCATAAAGAATTTGATAGTGTGGAGTGGCCATATTTATTACGTGTCCTCCATTTGTTTGGGTTTGGTCCCAATATGATTCGTTGGATTACAATTTTATACAGTTCACCTAGAGCAAGACTCAGAGTCAATAGGGAGGTTTCTCCCCCCTTTAATATGTCACGAGGTACTAGGCAGGGAAGTCCGTTGTGCCCGATCATTTTTGCTCTAGCAATTCAGCCTCTTGCAGCCTTGGTTCGTGCATCTCCTTTGGTGCGAAGGTTGGAGGAGCACATCTTCCTCTACGCTGATCATACCTTAATTTATTTATCAGATCCGAATGAGTCTTTGTTTCATTTGCTACGATTGCTGGAGCAGTTTAGATTTTACTCCGTTTTAAAGTTCACTGGAACAAGTCCATCCTCTTTCCGTTGGACCCTGTTACAGTTTCAAATATTCATCCTTTGTCTGTTACAGGTGGCCCATAAATGTAAGTATTTGGGAGTTCAAGTTCAGCTCCCACTTCCTCTTATATTGCTAATAATTTGCTCCTGATGATTGACACTCTCCAACTGAGAACAAGGCAATAGATGGACTTGCCTTTGGATCTCATGGGTAGAGCGAATCTTAAAATTATCTTTCTACCAAAAATCCTGTACATTAAGACTAACTCACCCTGTTACATTCCTGAAAAATATTTTCGTATGATCCTCTATTTGCATGTCCTTTTCTCCATGTGGTCTGCTTTACCTTGACATAAAACATACATATTGATGGATGTTTAGGTCTATGGCAGCATTGGTTGTTTGTGTTTTTGAACTTACAAGTGCCTTCAGAATTTGTCAAGGATGGATACTCGTGTTCCTACAGCCTCTCAGGGGGATCCTGGAAGCTTCACTAACTCAGTAGTTTTAATTAGGATGCCTACAGTTTTTCTGCGAGATATGTAATGATTCCATACTACCATTTCTACATTTTCATTACAACATCTGTTCTTTTTTTCTTTACAGAATCTTAGTATCCATTGGTTCGCCATTCAGTGTAAGTTTTATTTGTGCATTTTTGTTACATGTTTGTTTGTATTTCTGGGGACACTAACTTCACACACCAGCCATTAATGAATGAGTAATGTTTCAGGAAAAACTTTACTGTGTTTTTGTTTTCTGTTCTTCAGTCATAGAGGGGAGTCGAGATCTCCCAGAAGCGAGGAGTAATCTCACTTTTGACCATTGGCAAATTTCTTCTCTTCTCCAGGTTTTTTGGGTTTCCTTTTGCTTTCTGTTTTAGAGACAACTACCAGCATGATAAATCATGACGGTAGCATTATACTTTGTCCCATGCCCTGTCACTTTTCAGGAACAGCTTGGCCTGTAAATGTAACAAAATATATAAAGCCATGTGAACAATAAAAATAATTATATTGTTAATATTGTTACATGTGTAGCTGCATATTTTCTGGGAATGTGGCCCTTCTAAGCGTTAAACAGATTTTTCTTCGGAAGCAAATTGCCCTGTGTACTCTGTTTTAAAGGATTTCATACATATCATTGTGGACCCCAAAAGAATGCAGGCAGAGGGCAGATGACTAGTCGTCAGTGTTGCCTTTGGTCTGCCTTTAGCTGATCTTTGTCCCCAGTGCTGATTTACCAGGCGTCTCTATGTGGAGGTGACCATCTTGGTAGAGGCAAAAATTCATGTCAAAGCTGCCCCCGATGACTGGTGATCTGATGATTTATGGAGGAATAACCACAGTAGCAGATGATCCACATAATGGATGAAGCAGGGAGATGCAGGAACTGCAGCTTTCTCCATCAGGGAGAACAGTATAACGTACTTTAGTGACATAATCTAATCTCACTCCAAAGCTTGTGTTACTAACAGTCAGAGGTATGCAGTGCCTTAGAATTTCACACTACAGACATACAGCTATGAGACTGAAGGCACAGGAAGGGCACTGCTGTTTTTCAGGAGAACTTCAAGACAAAAGGGAACGATTTCAAGGTATTGATCGGGCATATTTACCGTTTCTAAAAATTCCATGGCAAAAAAAAAAAACATGGCAAATCTTTTCATTTTGCATTCTAGTCTATTTAAGAGACGCATGGCATGTTGTTCATACAGTTTCTTATAGGCAAATGGAAAGAGTTTTGTAATGTCTGTCCCATGAAATAAATTCTAGTAAGTAATTGCATCATAACTCTTAGTGATTTTTTTTCCCTTGCATTTGATTGCAATATGTAATATTTAACTGTTTACTTTTGTTCGCAGTAGTAAATGCTCTCTTTTCTTTAGTCAGCAGAGAAATTTCAGAAAATCAACCAAATGCTGAGCAACGCTGAACGCCCTATTAAGAGAACTGCACAAGATTGCACAGCTCCAAAACCACTTAAGAAGCTCCGCTTTGATGAGCACGATGAGGCAGATGGAAGGTATAATGAATAATTTTACACAATGTATGGTTAAATGAGAAAATATTTGCTACCATTTATAAATTTAATGAAGAGTGTGCTGACTTGTAATTGCTACAAAGAAAAGTCTTTTGGTAGCCTGTGTGAGGAGACTTTACCACAGCTAAAAACCACCATGAGCAGGAAGGAGTTAATAACTGCCCTTTTCAGGAAAAGTAATGTTATTGGCTCATTCAGCTTGGACATCTTAATATGTAAAAGGATTCTAATTAAACACAGTGGTTAATATAGTCCAGTGAAGCAGTGGAATTGAAATTGAAACTTCTGCATTAAAAATGGCAACTAGGTGTTAATTAGCAAGGTCCTAAAGCGCTGGTAACGCATTGGTTCTGTAAAAATACATGTATTTGCAAGGAAAATATTTGTGAATGCTAAAGGTATGTATGCATTGATGCCTCCTTAAAATATGACTTTACCATTTCTGTAGTGGGTGGGCCTTTGCCATAATGTGTTTGCTGCACATTATGGCACACCTCCTAGATTTCCCTCTTCCAGTGTTGCCATGACCACCTTGTCATTCTGTCGCTACTGCTAACATCTTTTGCCAGTCTTCTTCCGTGTCTAGAATGTCCTGGCTCTGCCATTGGACATCGTTTCAGCACCTGGCTCTGTTGTATCTTTAAGATGCCAAGCATGAGCCAAGAGTGTATATCCACTTGTGTGTGCAAGGCAGTCTACAAATAATAAAAAAAGAACCTTCTAGGATAGGGGTCAGCAACCTGCGGCTCCGGAGTCACATGTGGCTCTCGGGGCCCCGCACTGCCGATGGGCTTCTCGGTAAGGGGGCAGGTCTTGTGACCTCCTCTCCCAGCCGAGTCCCTAGTAACAGGCGGCGGGAGAGGAGAAGTGTGTGTCACATGCCCCGCCCCCTGCAGTGCACACCATCTGGCTGGGATGTTGGCTGTGAGGCTTTTGTCAGGTGAGTCTGAATGAGGAACGCGGGGGCGAGTGCGTTACCAAGCCCAGAGTCCAGTGCGTTACCAAGCCCAGAGTCCAGTGCGTTACCAAGCCCAGAGTCCAGTGCGTTACTGAGCCCACATATACCTATATACATGCTATACATAGCATATAGGTAAAAATGTTTGTTGTTGGCGTGAAGTTACTTATCCTGTTCTCTCTTATCACCAGCAAAACGCTTTCTACGGAATCGAAGTTCCAGCAGAAGCTTGCAGAAATGAGTAAGTTTTCCATCTTTTTTGTATAGTATTTTTCCGAACTTTGTAAGACTGAACTTTGGCAAAAAATGTTTTTTTGTTGAATGATGAAAATGTAGAAAAGAACGAAAATATTTAAGTTAAAGGTACATATAGACAAAACTTTTTCGTTTTGGATAGAGTAGGCAAGGATTAGACCCCGCTGTAAAGTTTTTATTGATGTGTCTCTGCTAGGAAGGTTTACCCTCTCGATTTGTTCTGGTGACTACTGTCACAGAGACAAAAAGTGATGACAAATCCCAAATTTGAGTTGTCTCAGAACAAGAGGTGAGGGTAAAATGTCCAATGGAGACACCTGTTTTGGTTAGATCTGTCTAGGGCAGGGATGGCCAAACTCCAGCCCTCCAGCTGTGGTGAAACTACAAATCCCATGAAGCATCTCTCTCCGGGAGTCATGTCTGTGGCTGTGAGAATCTTGCAAAGCCTCATGGGATTCGTAGTTCCACCACAGCTGGAGGGCCGCAGTTTGGCCATCCCTGGTCTAGGGGAATTGCCCTCAGTAGAGATTTCCTCTGACTTTTCTTGCACATCCGGGATAGCCATTTAAGGCAGACAGTAAAAAACAGACTCCTTACTATAGACAAAGCTAAAATGAAAATGTTGGCTATGTATACATTTTAATTGGTATTACTGTTAAAGAACATGAAAGAAAATCATTTTTGGACTGGTTACTGTAGAGGGTGTAATGAAGAAAATGACATCAATCAAGAGTTGTTGGCCTCACATGGTCTATGGTGACTTGGTCTCCAACAAGAGTGATTATGCAGCTATTTATGTATAAGATTTGTGTACATGTATTTAGTTGCATATGTCTGTTTATATGAATATATATTTACTAACCGGCAATCCATATTTGCCCTTCTTGCGGTCACATATCTATATATAGTGATAATCTCATCAAATGTCCAAAAAAATCTGAAAGGGCATAAAGTGTTCTGTGGCCTAAGTTGGTAAAAGGAAGAGTATAAAGAGTATAAATTATACTGGAATAAATTATATATTATATATACTTTAATTATAAAATATATAAATTACTTGGAACCTATGAGGAAATGAAAAGGTCAGCGGTAATTGGCATTATAAACAGCTTTTCTTGAGTACAGTAGTGGACACAGGCAGGTTCAGAGATGACTGGGTAATATGCAGGTATCCCCAGGTGATTGGACTCTGGCCAAAGCTGCGAGGACCCTCATATAATCCCTTTTGACTTGCCAGTAAAATCTGTTTTTTGGAGTACAGTACCGGACACATGACCCTCCCTTCTATATCCTGTATTGCTTGCTAAAAAGCTGAGCATTTCCTTCAGTGGGAGGGGTTATATGAGGTCACAGCTCTGGCCAGTGTCTAATCACCTGATGATACCTGCATATTATCCAGTCTTCTATGAATTGCCTGTGTCCTGTACTCCAAGAAACGGATTTTACTAGCAAGTCAAAAATCCTGTTATCATTCACACACACCCTAATTTATATTTATATAGTTTAATGCAGAATATATGAAGTGCTTGTTTACCACAAGTACAAGTCTGGGCAACAGCTTGTACTGTCACCGGGTTATTACCAACACACCTTTTATTTAATTAATATGTTTGTCCTGAATTTCAAGTCTCTGTGAATATTCAAAGGTGGATTGCAGTGAGCTTCCCAAAAAAGGTGCTGTCTACAAGATCTCTTGCTATAGAAAGAGCACAGTGTGTAATCCTCCACACTGACGTTTGTCCCATCAGTAAAGATAATTATTGTAGAGATGGGTGAAGGAGCCTTGATTGAGAGGCCTTCTGAACAGATCGGAGCACTCTTCTCGGCCCCACATGACATTGCTGGGTTCCTTAATGGTCAATTGGTAAACACAAGGGTTGTCACTTAGAATGAAGGGGAGATAGTTGCATGCTCCCCCACCTCCAAAATCAGTTAGGTCATAGCAGCTGTGGGTGTCCGCAATAAAATGCACCTTTGGCTTTGTCCTGCGTGGGCACAACACAGTTTCACAGATAAAGTGCAATGCTGATTTGTAAATGGCAGATGTCTCACCGGAAACGACAACTGATTGATGAACAGTGTCATTCCATATAGAAAAGCAAGCCATAAACATTTAGTCTTCTGGAGATTTTTTTATGTTGGAGAGGCTCTGTGTGCAATAATGAGCCCTTCTGAGTGATGATAGCTTTTATAGCATGATGTTAACCCCTTCATGGCCCAGAAACAAAATCTTTGTGTGCAATAACGAGCTCTTCTAAATTATGTTAGCAGTCATTATAGCTCACCTGTTAGTCTTTGATCGGCCCAGATATGGTTTGAATACTGCAAATGCCTAAATTGGTAATACTGGTTATTGGGATGTGCACGAGCTCCCTAATCTAAATAAAGATTGTACAATTAAACGTGAACAGCCAAGAACTAGAAAGTATAACAGTCTGGGTTTTGGGCCAAGTACAGAGCGTCTGGTCTTATCTGCATAGATGATGACTGTTTCAGCAGCACTGTGCAGATAAGTAAACAAAGCAGAACAGATGCTGAATGTGCAATGACACCTGTTTCTGAGAGCTCACAAAATTAGGCCATAAAGTTGTCACGGTTTTCAGAAATATGACTACTGTATATACCTTGATTATAATCCCTGTGTTTCGGATCTATTTGAATTAAAAAGTTAAACAAGAACATGTAAATCACAGAGTGGACAGAGGTGTACAGTGGTGCTCAAATGTGTGATTTTGTCAGTATTACTGTATAAATAGAACCAAAACATGATTGATTTTTCAAGCAAGTTCTAAAACGTGATCTTTTGAACCCAATTAAACGAAGGAATCTGAAACACAATCTTGACTGAATAATCAATTGGTATAGTGTTTTAGACTCCTTTGTTTAATTGGGTTCAAATGATCCAAAGTTACACATTTTATGTGACAAAAATATGTGAACCCCTAGGATTTTTACTTCATTTGAAAGGGAAATTGGAGTAGGATGTTTCATTCAGTCAGTTGATAATCGGGTACGCATGTGGAAGGCCCTACCTTACTTATAGAAAAGACATCTGGGTTTGTAGAACAAAGGAGATTTCCAAAGACCTTGGAAATATATTTAATACTGCTTACTGGGCTGGAAAAGCTTAAAAACCTGTTTCCAAAGAGTTTGAACTAATCCACTGTCAGGCAGATTTTGTACAGATGAAGACAATTCAACGCTACACTGTCTAGAAATGGTCACCTAGAAGATCTCACAAAAACCTTGACTAATGTCCAGGAACATGGTGGTGGCAGTATTTTGGGCCTATTGTGTTGCCTCTGGACCAGGAATTGTACCAACTGATTCTGCAGGAAAGTGCCAGGTTATCTGTTAATGAACTAAAGCTGAAGGGAAAATGGGTCATGCAGCAAGACAACAACACTAAACACAAAAGTCTGTCTACCAAAGAAATGGCTAAAGAAGAAGAAAGCTAATGTTTAGGAGTGGCTGAGTCACAGTCCTGACCTTATTTCTATGGATATTTTGTAATGGACCTGAAGCACATTCGTGTAAGGAATCAACCAACATCCATGACCTGCAGCAATTCTGTAAGAAGGAATGGGCTACATTTCCTCTAAGCCAATGTGCAAGACTGATCAACACTTGCCTCAAATGTTTAGTTGACGTTTTTCTTGCTTGGGGGGGAAAGGGGTTGTTGCACACACCAGTTTCTGAAACAAAGATTGACATACTTTTTCCACACACCATTATCTTCAGTAACAGGGTCATAATCTTGTGTTTGCTCAGTAAATGAGCAAGCATATTGTGGTTTTGACTCCTTCAATTGGGTTCTCATTATCTAATTTTAGGACACACAGATCTCATTTTAGGTCATAATCTGCAGAAATATTGGCGTTCAAAGAGTTCACAAACTAGCACAACTGTATATCCGTATCAAATCCTCAAGTCCTTTTATACATCACATTAGTAGAAGTATGTCTGTTTGTTGGGCAGTATTTAGTTAGGTGGACGTCTTCACTCCATGGTGGTTCACAGTCTTGTGGAAGGGGCAGATGTTATCAGTGGGATGCACAGGAGTATAGCAGTGCTCTGTTATATAATGCCTTTAGGCCCCTTTGTATAGTAAAAGCCACCAGTGCCCATACTATGGACATTGAACTATTTACATATTCTTTTATTAGTCCAGTTCCAGTCCGTTTCTTACGGCTTTCTAAACACCTGCTGTATGTCTACATTAGAGGGCTGGCACGCTGCCAAGAGCTGCTCTCATAGAAAGAATACTGAGATTGCAGAGCCAGAGGTACATTTCTCCACAATATCTATACTTACAAAGGTGAATGAGAGTTTTAAAGTACTTTTGCAGCTTGTTCTAAATATGGTTCACTTTAAAATATTGTTCTACTTTGCAGCTCCAAAAATAAATAAAGGCAAAAGTAAGATTCACAGATGCCAATAAACTTCACATACATGTATGCTTAGATTTC